TCCAGGAGGCCATGAAACTTGAACATTGGACTCAAGCCATGAAAGAAGAGATGAATGCATTAGAAAGAAATTCAACTTGGGAGATTGTTGATAAGCCAAGAGACAAGAAGGCAGTAGGATGTAGATAGATATTCATAGTGAAACATAAGGCAGATGGGACAATAGAAAGATATAAAGCTAGATTGGTGGCAAAAGGCTATACCCAAACTTATGGGATTGACTATGAGGAGACCTTTGCCCTAGTGGCAAAGATGAATACAGTTCGAGTTGTTCTCGCTTTGGCTGCTCATTTTGGTTGGGACTTACACCAGTTGGATGTGAAGAATGCCTTTCTTCATGGAAATCTGGAAGAGGAAGTGTACACGGAGATTCCCCCTAGAGCATGGTTTGGAAGATTTACAAAAGCAATGGTTTCCTTGGGATTCAATAGAATGAGAGACGATTATTTTTCATAACTTTGTTATAGAAGTTTCACTCAAGATGCAAATAAAATAAGTTTACAAACACACATATAGATATATCACTTTGTAGATGCAAAGTTTAAAAGAGAAATATTATATTAAATCTACACATATAATAGGATTAATATTTAAATTTATAAACTTAAAATTTAATAATGGAAAAAAATAAATATAATTTTTAAAATTAAGTATTAAATTAAATTATAAATATTATGAGGGTTAAAGTTTTTTTGAACAGAAATCGCTTTGGGAATAGGGTTTAATTTTTAAAATTTGAAAAAAAAAACTATTTTATTATTTTTTTTATAAGAATCCAATTTTTTATTAGTTCAGTAAATTTTATAAAAATCTCAAGTCAAAATTTTCTTTAGATAGAAAAAATATGTTAGATCAGCCCTACATTGATAATACATATTCTTTAATTGGTGTAAAAAAAATACATTCTTTAATATTTATAACACATTTATTTTTTATCAGATGGATTTTATATATGTAGTTCTTATTAAATGACATAGATTTATTTACTTGAATTTATATATTAAAGTTACTGGTTGACAACTCAAATGAAAAATGAAAAATTGTAAATCAATCTAAAATATTAAAAATCGATTGAAAATTTTAAATTACCTGTTTGGTTCAATTTTTAAATTTCCAAAATTGCATGAGTTGGTTCAGTTTTCAAATTAAAATTTCAAGTTGTTCCAAACCAAACTAAATCCCATTTATTTGTAAATGTTTTTTTTAAATGCAAAGTGTAGATATAAAAGATTGACACAATATAAAATGATTTTTTTTAAAATTGTAAGTTATTAAAATTTTCTCTCTCTCCAAATATAAATTATAATATTTAAAAGATATTTTATAAAATTATAAATTACTAAGCTGAATTTTAGACTGAAAAATTATGAATTATTTATAATTTTTTAAAATAATTTGTTTTAAAGTGACAAATTATATATATGAAAGAATATTTAATATCTTAACTAAAACGGTATTAAAAGATATTTTTATTAAAATAATAAAATAAAAATTAGTGTCTAATATATTAAATGATCGAAATATTTTAATATTTTTTATTTTATTTTTTATGTATGATCTTAAACAATTAAGATAATATTATATATTTTTAATTTTAAATAACAAATTTTAAAAATAAAAAATCAAGCTATATCAAATTGCAAAAGTTAGTTTCATTTTATTCAAATTTTATAATTCATTTAAATTAAACTAAATTATACCACACTTAATTTTCTTATTTAATTTGAATGACTTTAAAATAGTATCACAAGCACCGTTACTAGATATTCGTCATCGTCCCAAAGCTAACGTTACCATTCGGTATCAATGACTTTAGAAGCAACAAAACGATAACTTATATCATATCCCTATATAACCACGTAGTCAAGGACGGAGCCAAGGGGGGACCTACGGGTGCCACGGCCCCCCCAACAATTTTAATTTTTTTTTATATACATATATATTACTATATGGCACCCCCTATTTTTAATATAAACTCATATGTATAATTAAATGAATAACCCAAATTTATTTTTTTATTCAACTTTTGGACTTCTGGTACGGCCTGCTATGTGGTATCACTTTGGAATTTTTTTTTTTTTAAAAAAATGTAGCGCCTCATTTGATCATTCCAATTCTCGGCCCCCCCAGTATTGAAATCCTGGCTCCGTCCCTGCACGTAGTTATTTTATTTTTTCATTTTGTGCTAGGAGTCTTCTGAGTTTGTATATCAAATCTAATTAATAGTACCTTTTTCAATTAGTTAATCAATTACAGTATAATTTACCTTCTCTAATTCTGGAAGCAATATTACTCATATACTTTCAATTAATTAACGATAAGCATCAATGTGGTTTTGAACCCTTTTCATATATATATATATATATATATATATATTAAGAATAATAGTTCACATACAACAATATATTATATTTGTAATTATTTTTTTCTATCACATAATTTATTAGTTTTCAAATTTCTCTCTCTTTTCTCCTTTTGTTGTACAAATATCATCTCTCTTTGCAAATGATATACTAACTAATTAATTTCCATGGAAAAAAAATATAGTAACTAATTTTTCATCAACTAATAATTAAATTCATGCTTAAAATTGAACGTTTTAAACAGTTAAATATTTATGCTTTAATTTATATTTCATTACTTTTGAATTAAATATATTCTTTTTTATTTGTATGTACATGTACATGTTTTCATGTTTTGCATTATATTTATAATTAAGTATCTGTTTAAAGCAAGTTTCATTCTCATTTTTGCTTCATAAAAAATGGTTTTACACTTTTTAAAGATTTTATAAACCCTTATAGTGTGTTTGGATGGGGAATTTAAATGGAGTAATTCATTTATTTGAAGAATTTCAAATTCTTTGAGGTGAAATACCTTGTTTGGATGGAGAATTTATAAAGAATTTGAAATTCAAGCATTTGTGAAATTCCTTGAAATAGTAGAATTTCAAATTCTCCCAAAAAAGTAAGAATTTGAAATTCCTCATATTTTTTTTCCTTCATATTTCACTTATATATTTTATCTTATCTCATATCTCTTCATATTTTTAATTACTGAATATTTAAAAATATTTTTAAAATTATTAAATATTATCTAATATTAATTTTTAAAATTATTAAATATTTAAAAATTAGTTAATATTTAATTTTATAAAATTTAATTTAAGAATCTCAACATATAAATATATTTTTAAAATCAAATTTATCATGGTAGAATCAAATTATCATATTTAACCCATAAATTTAAAATTTGAGAAATTTGAATTGACTTATCCAAACAAAATATTTTAAGAATGACGAAAATTGAAATCAAAGTAATTCAAATACCAAGAATTTAAAATTCCTTGAATTTGTAAAATTCTTCATCCAAACACACCATTAGATAATTCTGTTTTACTTTTCATTTTTAAAGATTGTTATAAACTAGCTGGTCATTGTATAAGTGGATGGTTAAGATCCAATTAGGGTGAGTGAGGGTGTATGAAATTTAATGATTTCCTTTGAGAAGGAATAAACATTTCATCCGTTGAATGTGAATAAACATTCATCCAATAATTAGAAGGAATAAACATTACATGCAGATGTGATTGTTAATTACGGTGCTTTATGTAAATTTAGTTGTGACTAGTGCTTGTTAATTTCGTTGAAGGTAGAAGAGATTAAAATGAATGAAATTAAGCAGCCGAGAGAAGAGAAGAAAGGATGGAGAAAAGTTTTAAAAGTTATAAGGAATTGGATGGCACACAAGAATAAAAATGAATGGTTGAAGGACATGAGAGGGATGCTAAGTTTGGTGGCTACAGTAATAGCCACAATAACATTTCAAAGTGCTCTTAATCCACCAGGTGGTGTTAGACCAGCATCAGATGACAGTGATGATGTTCTATGTCATAACAGTTCAGACACGAATCCATGTCCCGGAGAATCTGTCCTAGCTGTTATATACCCAGACACATATGAGAGATACCTTTTTTGCAACACTTTATGTTTCGCTTCATCTCAAGCTGTTTGTCTTTTGCTTGTGAGTGGGTTTCCTATGAATCACCGATTCTTCACCTGGCTGTTGTTAATAGGCATGTGCATCACTCTCTCCAGCCTCACTTTAGCCTACTTGTATGGTGCGTTTATGATTACTCCAAATCCCGTTTGGGCTGAAACTGCTTTAGGCATGTTTGCTGCAATTATTTTGATTTGGCTTGGGCTGCTTGGACTCATCGCACTTTTCCTTTCCTTCCGCCTAATTGTTTAGCTTTTCACCAAATGGAATGAATCAAGTAAACCATAATGATCTGCTTTTGTGCTAGCTACCTCATCTCGCATGTGAAACTCTAATTACTTCCCCAGTGTTGTACCTTGTTATGGTTGAGTAATGTAATTCAAATGTATAGTCTTTATGTATCATATAATCTGTGTTTAGTTTATACATATAGTCTGAAAGTTTAGTTTATACTTATATTGTCTAATGACATCCTCTAATGGTATAGTTTGATGATATTATCTGATAGTATAGTCTGATAAATAATAATATTATCTGTATACCTTAGTTTATAAATATCATATGCTTGTATCATTTATCAATGTATTTTATAAATACATGTTTGTATTATTACTTATTAATAAGAGTAATAGTAGTCATGTTTAATGTACAAGTATGAGAATACAATTTTTTTTTACTCAGTTTTCACTTTGTCTGTTATAAATGTGTGTTTCTATGCATTTCATTCTCATCAATTATGCAATTATATCATTTAATTTATTTAATTTTCAACTATATACACAATATTGTATAATGATTTGATGGAAATATATGAATTTTGTTATTTCCAAGTCTAGACTTTGTCTTGGTTTCATTCTTCATAATTTTCTATTACATACACTAAGAACATGCGTTATTGCGAGAATTCATAATTTTTAAATTATTAATAAAAATAATTAATAAATCAAAATTAAAATTCAATTATAGACATTTTTTTTATTATAAAATATTACTATTATCCTTTAAAAAATTATCAACATCACATGTCCGTAATATTTTGCTTTATTAAAGGAAAAAGCAGACCTAGGAAAACTAAGTATTTTCTTGGAATAGAGGTTGCTTATTCCATGAACGAAATTTTCATCTCCCAAAGGAAATATGTACTTGATCTCCTCAAAGAAACAGGAAAGCTGGGATGTAGAACCTCAACCATCCACATAGACAAGCAATAGAGTGAATTTACCTATAGAAGAGTTCTTTATGAATAGAGTATGATCTCCTTGGCTTTGTCTGTATCCCAAGGAAACCATTGCTTTTGTAAATCTTCCAAACCATGCTCTAGGGGGAATCTCCGTGTACACTTCCTCTTCCAGATTTCCATGAAGAAAGGCATTCTTCACATCCAACTGGTGTAAGTCCCAACCAAAATGAGCAGCCAAAGCGAGAACAACTCGAACTGTATTCATCTTTGCCACTAGGGCAAAGGTCTCCTCATAGTCAATCCCATAAGTTTGGGTATAGCCTTTTGCCACCAATCTAGCTTTATATCTTTCTATTGTCCCATCTGCCTTATGTTTCACTATGAATATCTATCTACATCCTACTGCCTTCTTGTCTCTTGGCTTATCAACAATCTCCCAAGTTGAATTTCTTTCTAATGCATTCATCTCTTCTTTCATGGCTTGAGTCCAATGTTCAAGTTTCATGGCCTCCTGGATTGAGGTAGGAATTTTTGTGACATCAATGGCAATAATAAAACTTTTGTGCTTATCAGAGAGATTGTTAGTGCAAACATATCGAGAAATAGGATATTTAGCGCAGGACCTTCTTTCCTTTCTTAATGCAATGGGTAAATCCTCAGTAATACTTACCTCCTCACTGTTATCTTTAGGGATCCTCACTTCTGGATTAGACATTCTTTCTTGCTCGAGAGTCGAAGTGGGTTATTTTCTTCTTTCATATTTTTTGCCAAAAATTTTGTCTTCTTCCTCTTCTTCTACTTCTTCCTCGTTATGGACCATGGTAGCTTCATTGCTCAGATCTTGGGCATCCTACAAAGACAAATATGGTAATGACAAGAAGGAGAGCTCCTCCACTTTAAGTGTTTTCTCCCCCTGAAGTGGTGGACTGACATAAAAGGATTGTGTTTCATGAAAGGTGACATCAATGGTGATAAAGACGTGACGAATTTGAGGATGATAACATTTGTACCCTTTTTTATTATAAGGATACCCAATAAAGACACATTTAAGAGCTTTGGGATCTAATTTACTACAATTAGGATGATGAGAGTGAACAAAAATAGTACATCCAAAGACTTGACTAGGTAAACTCGATATTAGGGGGCAAGAGGGAACAAAAGACAATAGAGACTCTATAGGACTAATTCCATTTAAGATACGGGTGGGTAACCTGTTGATGAGATATGTGGCAGTTAACACAGTTTCTCCCCAGTAATTTTTTGGAACAGACATTTGAAAAAGAAGAGCTTTAGTTACTTCTAGAAGATGACGATTCTTTCTTTCTACAACCCCGTTTTGTTGAGGGGTGTTTACACATGTTAGTTCATGAACAATACCATTATGAGACAAAAAATTGAGAAATTCATGATTCACATATTCAGTAACATTATCAGACCTGAGTCTTTTGATATTTTTCCAAATTGATTTTGGACCAAACGGAAAAAATTAACAAAGATTTGGAAAACTTCTGATTTATTTTTCATAAGATATGTCCATGTGACACGGGTACAATCGTCAATAAAGGTAATGAACCATTTAGCTCCGGAAATAGATTCTACGACAGGTCCCCAAACATCATAGTGAATTAAATCAAATGGAGAAGTACTCTTTTTATTACTAATAGGATAGGATGCACGATGGTGTTTTGACAATTGAAAAATATCACAATTAAAAGACTCACCAGACTCCTTAGTAAACAAATGAGGAAATAAGGACTTAAGAAGGTTGAATGAAGGATGCCCAAGCCTTTTATGATGTAGCCATATTTGAGAATTTGCCCATGTCTTGGATGTAGCTTGTTGACTCATGATTTTTGCTGTGTTTTGGTGATTAGATTCCAACAGATACAACCACTCTACTCTTTGGCAGTTAAAATCGTCTTCCCCGTAGCAAGGTCCTGAAAAACACAATGAGTCGAGAAAAATGTTACTGAACAATTTAAATCTTTTGTGAGCTTTTGCACAGAGATAAGATTATTGGCTAACTGTGGAACATGTAAAACATCCTTTAATACAATAGATGATTCCAAAATTATATTCCCAGAGCCGCATATGGGTACACCTTGACCATTCGCAACTATAATAAGTTGTTCTCTATTCCTTTTAATATATGATTTGAAGATCATACGAAAAGGTGTCATATGATCAGTTGCTCCTGAATCAAGAATCCAAATACCTTGAGACA